GAAAGGTTCTAGAGTATGTTTAACATCAGCAAATATCTCCATATTTCCAGGACAGTCCCACTTTCAAAAATGCTCATCCCTCTGTCCTCACAAATACATCCTAACTTGTCAGTTTTCAAGTCCTGATTATTGGTTGAGAAAAATACATTATGATATGGGATGTAGATTCGTGCCTATTCAAAAGGTGTAGCCAGGTTGTTATTGAGAAGGGAAATCTGGGTATTACATCAGTCCAATCAGTCTAAATCAACACCTCTCCAGCTGGCGGAACTCACGTGGAACAAGGGAGATGTGCTGCTCGAAAGGAAAGGAGGCCAGGGTTCAGCTCACTGGATCTACTTTCCCAAGCTAGGGAGAACACATGATCCTGAGCAGCAGCAAAGAATAAGGTGCAGAATACTTAAAAACCACTGGTGGATGGCACTTAAATTCACACAGAGCCCAAAGGGGCCCCCCTGTCAGCCCTGAGCTGGAGGATGCACTGTAAGACGATTTCGGGGCAGAGTTCCACAGTACGATCTAGTTCTCCTAACATGTCCCATCATTCGTGAGCTCTTTCATGAAGCAGTGATGTAAGGGCATTATCAGGGGCTGTCACATTTTGATGACAAAGCACAAGGCACTGTCCTGGAAGTTTTATACAGATTATCTTTCTAAATCCTTAACAGCAAATGTGCAAGGCATATATAATATATAATTACCATTTTAGGTGAGGAAAATACAATGTAGGTGTCAAAGGACTTGTCTCAGGCTATAGAATCAGCTAGTGGCATACCCTGGACCCAAATCCCTGCCTTCAGGATCTGAGTTCTTTCTGTTTTAGTTTGTAGTAACTATTACTGGGTTTGCTAATTTTTTTTCTGAATATAAAAATACATACCAAGTAAGAGAGTAAGCCAGAATTTAAGAACCGGCTGTTTGTCTGACCCCAGTGTCCACAATCTTGCCATTTCACCAGGCGACCACCACTTCACTGTTTCCCCCTTCCCAAATCAACCAGTGAAAACACGCCCACTAAAACCAGTCCCAAAAGAGAAACAGCAGCATAGACAAAGCCAGAACTGTTGTGAATTCGCACTCTGCATTGGCAGGCTTCCCCTTTCTTTGCTGGAATGATCCATGCCTCCCAGACCTGAGCCTATTGACTAAGGAGGCTCACTATCTGTGCTGAGAAACACTTAGCGAAGTTATTGAGTGCTCAAGGTCACTCCGCCTAAGATGATAACACAAGGCAAAGGAAGTGGCCTTGGATGGGGGTGGGCAGGGGGCACACACAAGGGAGCTTCAGAGACTCTGAGTTAGGTCAGAGGGATGCCAAGTCAAGGCTGCCCAGAGGGAGGACATCCAAAGCGGCTACTGTTTCAAGTTAAGACAGCAGCAAGAATGCCATGTGCAGAGTCCTGGATGTTCGATCTGCACAATGACTTCACAGCCATCACCTCTCTTCATGCTCTCACAACCCCAGGGAGTCAACAAGGCAGATTTTACATAGCTTTCACACAGGGCCAGAATCCAGAAGATGCTTGGAAACATCAAGTGACTTGCCCAGGACCACAGAGCTAGTTAGGGCAAGGCCTGGATGAGAAACCAAGCTTCTGAATTTCTAGTCCAGTGTTTATTCCCTATAGCCTGCTTCCTCCCAAAAGCATAAAGCCAACAGCACCAGGAAAAACAATTATATGGGACAAAATAATACTAATAGAACAAAGAGGAAGAGAAGACACATGGGCTTTGTCATCATTTCTTTTTCTGCTTTGGATGAGTGGGTTCTCCTCTCTTCAGCATAAGGAACTCCTCTCTCCTTTAAAACTTATTTATGGTTGGGGCACCTGAGTGGCTCAGTGGTTGAGTGTGTCTGCCTTTGGCTCAGGTAATGATCCCAGGGTCCTAGGATCAAGTCTCACATCGGGTTCCCCACAGGAAGTCTGCTTCTCCCTCTCCCTATGTCTCTGCCTCTCTCTTTCTCTCTCTCTGTCTCTCTCATGAATGAGTGAATGAATGAATGAGTGAATAAATAAATAAAATCTTAAAAACATATTTGTGGTTATTTCGCAAAGTTACAGTACGGCTACTAAAAATAAATCACAGCTATCCAAATGTCTTTCCTGTCTAGAATAATTACCTGTGTCTACATGGCTGGACTTACACTGGTTAGTGGATAGCATTTTCCTCTCACATAAGACTCTGGGTCTACTACATAAATTTCTCATGAGCAGGGACTGAAAAGGAGAGAACTAGTAAATGTGTTGTAGAGAACTGTGGAGGTTCTAAGACTCCACAAGCATCTTGAAAGATATCAAACAGGGGGTGCTTGGGTGGCTTAGTCTGGTAAGCATCCAACTCTTGATTTCAGCTTAGGTCATGATCTCAGGGTCGTATAATCAAGCCCTGTTTGAGATTTTCTCTAGCTCCTTCTCCCTCTGCCCCTTTCCTGCTTGTGTGCACATGCATGTTCTCTCTGTCCCTCTCAAAAAAAAAAAAAAAGTATCAAACAGAACACCTGGTCTCACAATCTGAGGGAGGAAATGCAAGAAACACAAGTACTGATGTAGATTAGTAAAAATCTGTGTTCATCTTTATGCAAACCAAAAGGACTTACAGAATCAGAAAGCAAAAAACACTGATAAAATTGTGTGGGGGGGGGCGTGAAAAACTACAGATTTGGGGTCCTTTTACCTTTTACCCAGTGAAGCACAATATTTGAGGTTTGCTACTTTGATGTAAATTTTTGAGAAAGAAGTTCAGAATTTCTGCCTGAAGTGAACTGTCAATATTTTAGGAAAGAACAGGAAGACAAGAGAGAAAGCCGTGATTAATAATGAACCCATTTTAAGTGGATTTTTTAAAATAAATAAGTATGTATCAAAAGCAGAAGCAGACTGCTGAGCCGTATCAATTGATTAAGATTTCCACAATGAATGTCTTTTTGACATTTACAGCAGCTATCAGACATTTTTTAAATATTCACAATTACCACAATGATTATTTGATTAGATGTCAAAATTAAGATGGGAAATGCGCTTGCCCCTCTCAGAGAAGATGGAGGTCCATCCGTCCATCCTTCCTTCCATCCTTCCTTCTTTCCTTCCATCCTTCTTTGTTTCCTTCCTTCCTTCCTTCCCTCCTTCATTCCTTCCTTCTCTGCTTCTTTCTTTCTTGCTAAGAACCCATTTCTGCTATTAAATAGTGAAATGCCCATATAGGAAATCTTCACACTGGGCTTGCCCACATCTAACTACTAAGAGATTTTGGAAGCCCAAAATCATGAATCAGGCTTCCTCTTCCCTGTCTGACTTCTCATTTTCATCAATAGCAGACATGGCACAATCACCTGTGAACATGTGGAGGACACAGTAATGAAGTGAGCACAAGAGCTGTGTCTTAACAAGAAGAAAAGTCTATCTCATTCATATTCTTCACTCTCCAACATTACCACTTTAAAAATCTCATTTCCCAGTACTTAACTCTTGGATACGTTTCGCCACTCATCAATTTCCAGAGAGAATACATTAAGGAAGTTCCCTGTGTATGTGCACTCCTCATTTATCAGACTTGTTGCAACTGCCACTAACCAATCAATTAACCAGAACCAGAGAGTGCTTTAAACAGATGTACCAGATGATCGATGTAGGCCAAAGGGCTTAAAACAGCATGTCAGTCCTCCCGGAGCTGGGAGCTGGTGATTTAAGAACTTACAGGTAGCTCTCCCCTCAATTACACATAAAGAGATCAAAAGAGCACTTGCATTACAAGGCAGTGTGCCCCAAGGGTCAAATGATGGGCTCAGCAGTAAGAGCTCCTATGGTCCAGAAGGAAACATTATGGATTGGTATGTTTAGAAGCTACATGATGAGGAAGAAAGAACCTGAATTAGGCCTTGAAAGATGGGCAGGCAGAGAAAAATCCTGTGCTTTTCCACCAAAGGGATTGGTGATTTCTGCTGCTGTGATCCATCATGGGTAACAATGGCTCATGGAACAGGATGGAAATGAAATCATATGTTAGCTCTTAGAAGTTACGCTAGAATGAGCTTCTGATTACTGTTTTTGGTACTATGGGTCTAGAGGGAGGTGTCCTTCATAAGTTATTAAGACTGGCTTGTGAGAGTTCAAATGAAGAATCAACACATGACTGAACAAAAACCCAGATAAACAAAATCGCATAAAGGAAAGAGAATGACTTCCAGGCCATGGGGTCTAGTCTACTCTGTCACTGCACTCATTATGCATTGAATGAGAAAATATATCTTCTTCTGGTCAGCAGAGGAAGATGCTTACAGAGGCAAGGCCTAGTGATGCTTATGTACCTCCAGGTCTCCAGGAAAGAGGGAACATTAGAAAAAGATGTTTGTGCGTTCCAGTGTCAAGGAAAGAGCTTCCTAGTGTGCACATTGCTGCCAGGGGACTTGGAGCACTCCTGACCTCTTGCAAGAGAGCAGACCCCAGTGTTTTCAGTCAGATGATACTAAAGGCCAGATCTACCTTCTCTTAACTGCCAGCCTACACACAACTTGTGATGATGGTTCATCATGGAGAGAATGTGCTGGTTCCTGTGAAATTTCCCACTGACTTGGGGTGTCTTATAGCATTCTGAGGTCAAACCATTGTTGCAAGAAATAGTCACCTTGAGTTGACCTTGGAAAGAAAGACTCTTTAGATGGTGGCTCATTAAAGCCACTCAGGTTGCAGTCTGTAAGGACACTGGCCACAGTGGGAGTCCTCATGCGGCTAGCCAATGAAACACTGTCAAGTTCCTATCCACCAGAACACACGTCAAGACTAGGAGCTAGTCCCGTCATTTCTTCCACCATCCCTAGGTCACCAATGCCCCTAACTCCAGGACAGTGAGAATGTGCTGGTTATCAGCCACTGTACAGTCCAGCTAACACACACCCTATTCCACACACAGAGCCCAAACATTGCTGACACTTTGCAGCAGGACAGACAGACCAGGAGCCCAGAAATAAGACTACCAGCTTCAAGACCCAGGGGAAAGCTCACCACATAGAGTTTGCGCCAGATGACGGCCCATTCTCGCAGTGTCGACGTGAGCTCCTGCACCAGTGGAAGTTCACCAGGAATCACAGTCTCATTTTGCCTAAGGAGAACAACCAGACAGATGCTCATGTTACTCCCGGTGAATCATCCCTGCTTTGCTTGACGGGGGTCATATTCTCTATGGCTCAAAGATAGGTGTCGGGCTGGTCTGGCTGGAAATAAAACGCACCCCTTGTGGGGAAATTTGTTGAGCAGATTCTATTATACCTAAGCACCTGAGAAAAGAAGGGACTTAGCAATACAGCTCTCAAAATGAATGGTTCCTGCAATGGAACAGGCCTTGGCCCAGCCTGGACCACACCATGTTGCCTCTCTATTGGAGCAACTACTGAGCTGGGCTGGCTTCAGTGACTCCTAGGGATGGAAGCCAAAATCCAGTATTAAAAAAAAAAAAAATTAAAAAAAGAATCCAGTATTTTAGCTGGTTCTGCCAAGCAGCCATTTCATTAGGGAGGGTGAGTGGAGAAGTGTGCATGGCACGAGGGCTGTGGGGCTGGTGATCTCACAAGGACCTGTGAGAAGGAGAGTTAAGAGCAAGTAAACAAATAGGAAACAGAGGTAGGATTGCCAGACTTAACTAAGACTACACGATGCCCAGTTAAGTTTGCATTTCAGATAGATTAAAATAATATTTTAGTGTAAACATGATGCATTAAATACCTAGGACATATTTACTGTAAACAATTACTTGCTGTTATCTGAATTTCGAACTTAACTGGGAACCCTGCATTTTTATCTGGCAACCCTCGTTAGGTTGGAAAGAAGATTTTCTGGGGGGCGGGGGGACACCTGGTTATCTTGGTTCTGCTACTGAAGGGCTGTGTGAATTTGGGCCTGTCTCTATGTCTTGTCTATAAAGTGTGAGTGCAGAACTTAAAACTGATAATGTTCTTTGCTGCTTTGAGTCTGCGTGACTCTGATCCTTCCACTCTTTATCAGCCCTGGGATTCCAGTCCTGCTCCGGGCTCTCCTTCCCTCCTTAATTTTCCTGCCCTTGGGCTCAGCAACCCAGCAGCCTCTTTCTCTCACCTCAGGCTGTGTCTTACTCCTCCTCAGCCACCACAGAGGCAGTACTTTCCAGGACAAATGGTAAGGTGGATAAGAAATTAGAATATCCAAAACTTAATGGATTTTATCTGCAGAGCATCTTCACACACAGTATTTCCCCTAATTTCACATGGAGCTCACAACTGATGCAGGGCTCGTTTTACTTCCTCCAACTTGTATTGGCAAAGTCCAAGGTGCAGTAAGACTAACTGCCTGGTCTAAGCTCCAGAGCTGATCACTGCAAGATACAGCTTGCTCATCTCTACCCAAAGGTGGCCAAATTGGGGGTTCTCAGAGATCTTACAGCAAAAGAATGCCAGACATGCATGTGTGCACACATGCGCACGCACATACTCAGTGAGCAGATAGTGCAAAAGGAAGGCAAAGGCCCTCCATTCATTCATTGTCTGTCTATATTATTCTGGTGAAGGATGCCAGAGAGGAGCAATTATAAAAGAAGGAATCATATCAGGAAAAAGTTTTTATTCATTTCTCTCTCTTGTGAGAGGTGCAACTGACAGAGATAAGAGAAATAAAGCCCTTGAGAGACTCTTCAATGATCATCTGATGTGTTCACCGGTTGTTAGGAGTCTTCCTGGGACTGGAACTTACCCTCGGTCCTCCACGGTTGCCTCCTTCAAATGGATATACGTTTCAGGGAAAATACCCTACAGGAGAAGAACATTGATTATACGGCCATACAAGTCTCGGGGTAAAGAGCACAAATGGCATCAAGAATGAATGAAGAGGAGACAGGGTACCAGGATAGTTGCTAGACTGTGCAGTCAGGCTCACAGGACCTATCACACTAACTGAGCCTAAATGAAAGCATGGCTGGAAAGACAGAAATTAAGATCGGGATTCCCAACGCATGGGAGAAACACTCTGTAAGTGGGCAGGCAAACGTGTCCGCGTCAGCTCAGAGCTGCAATAATGATAAGGAGTTCCACAGAGAGCTCCTAAAACCCTCCAGATCCTACATGCCATGAACTATTGCCCTGAAAAGGTTTCACATAATTAGTGACATGAAGGGCTATATACTTAGTGGCCCATAAAATTACAGTGATTTTCTGAAACAATCCCTTCTCAGCACTTTCACTTTAGCCAAATGCACCCCCAATCAATTAGTACTAGTTATCTGGTTATTTTTAGCATTTCCCAGTCTCAAATTGCTCTCCATTCTACAGTCTTAAGAGGTGAGTCTGTATCACTGGTGTGACACTGCCCATGGGAGAATAAACACCCAAGGAGGGCCTAAGAGAAGGACTGGAAACCAGTCGGTAGAAATTGAAGAAGTGAAGATCAGATGGAACCAACAGAAAGCAAGTCATGGATCTGAGTTTTCCTAAATGCCAATGGCTTCTGTTGTTCAACTGTGCAATACACTCATCAATAAATAGAGAAACTGCCATCTGGAAAAGGCATTGCTGTTTTTGGGAACTTAGCCTGCTAGGCCAGTAGAGGTAGAAGTTCCTCACCCTGTACCTGTGAAAGTTAGTGCAACCCTGTGGACACCCTGTGTTGGGGAGGGAGGGTGGGCACAGACATGGGAGAAGAATATCTTCCTACCTGGGGAACATGGTCAAAGATGGGTGTGTGTACCCAGTGATCCTTAATCCATTCAGAGGCAGAAAACTAGTTAATTTCTACTGGGGTCAGTCTTGTGTTTGGTTGTGTGTGCTATACTTATCTAATACTCTCCTTTCTCCATTTTAGCCCTTTGCCAATACAACAGGAAACTAAGAAAATGTGAGCTTGAGCTGCTCCCAGCATTGGTGATGACAGGGTAGATCCTGCCACTGCTTGAGTCAAAAGCAAAATGACCATTCTTTCCTGCCAGGCAGGAAGAACCAAAAAAAAAAAAAAGTATATTACCTTCCCCTCCTCAATCTGAGAAAGGGGTATGCATGGGGGTATATAAGAAAGTACTATGCTAATCTGTTATTGATAAGACCCAAAACACACACAAAGGTAAACTGACACTGACTTCCTTCATTACAGGGGCAGGATTCAAAGTGATTTTGGAAAACTAATCAAACAGTTAAAGATTCAATGTACATGGAATTCCTTTGGGACCTAATTTCTGATATTCTGAAGCTCCAGATCTGTCCTTAGGGTATCTAAGGAACTTCGGGTGAACTTTTTTCTTCTGTCCTTTTTTTTTAAGATTTTATTTATTTATTCATGAGAGACACAGAGAGAGAGAGAGAGAGAGAGAGAGAGAGAGAGAGAGAGAGAGAGGCAGTGACACAGGCAGAGGGAGAAGCAGGCTCCCTGCAGGGAGCCTGATGTGGGACTCAATCCCGGGGCCTCCAGGATCACGCCTGGGCTGAAAGCAGGCACTAAACCTCTGAGCCACCCAGGGATTCCCTCTTCCATCTTTTAAGCTGAGGTAAATGTCTTGTTGACTGTCATCATGGTAGAGAACCAGATTCCATGATGAACTACTTAAAGCAGTAGTTATAAGGAACCACATTTGGAGGTTAAAATAAGGTAACACTGCTCATCCCAGGGAATATCCTTGAAGATTTTTCTCATCAAGAAGGTAAAGGACCGATTAAAATTTTTGTGCATTCATAATCTGATGACTGGTCTTCTACTAATAATTGGGAGAAATCCAACATAGAAGCATTTGAAATATAAACATCTTATGTTGTTACATCTAAGCAGATTACATTATACTGAACATACAGACATGATGACTTTCATTTTCAGAGAATATTTATTTTGTTGCATTACTGCTCTGTTATTTGTAGGCACCATTCTCCCATGACAGCACATGTCCACTTATATCCATTTAATTGCTCTGGTAAATCTGAGCCTTGTAGAATTGTTCCAATGCCATTTGACACACAGAAAGGCAGGATAAACCTGGGTGATATATTACTAATTTATAGCCTATCTCAATTTTGATTTTCCTTTCTCAATGCAATCTACTCACTTAAGAAAAAAAAATAAACCAATGATTTTCTAGATATTGCCCTTATCCACATTTTCACAATCCTGCCAGGATCAATAATCAGTTTCTGCAAAGCTCCTGGCATCTTCAATTCCTAAAACCACTAGCTCATTTTATCACCACTCTAAATGGCTTTGTCTGCTGATAAATGACACCAAAAATTTCCATTAAAAGAATAGGCCTTTCAAATAGCTCCTCCCCCAAAGACCAGCAGACACAAGAAAACAGCATTAAGAGAGCATTTCAAATAGGCTGGATCTCTTAATGAAAGGGTGTCAAAAGCTGAACATAATTCATGATGATTGAATTTGAATTCCCTTGATTTTTCTGGGAGCTCTTCACCAGGAAGATATTGCAACTTAAAAATCAACAAGTAAATGCACCATCCTTGTTTGTACTATCATTTCATTGAATTACAAAGTCGAATTATCAAGAACTAAAAGAAGCTCCTCCTGAAACAATTCTTCTTAAGGGTGAGATTTAAAGTTTAAATAAGGGTTTTAAGAAGATGAAAACAAAAAAATTAAAAACATACCCAGAACATGTCATTTACACCCTAGCAGAGCACTCTATTTCCTTTTCAAAGTCAACAACAAGGGCACAAAGTGGATAGATATTGATCTGTTAGGGTATCACAGGACACCTTAGAAACTGAGGTATTCTATGTGCAAAAAGGATCCTTACATACTATAAGCTCTCTGAAAGGGAAAAGTGTGGTCTGGGACCTTGTTTCAACATGATTCACAATCGCCAGTAAAAATCAAGAATTGTGTTTGTTCTTTTAGTTCATGTGATCTTATCTGAGAATAGGTTTTTGTTCATTTTGTTAAGGTCTTTTTTTTTTTTTTTTTTTTTTTGAAGATGGGGAAGTATTCTTGCTCTTTAATAAATTCAGGGGATCCCTGGGTGGCGCAGCAGTTTGGCACCTGCCTTTGGCCCAGGGCGCGATCCTGGAGATACAGGATCGTCCCACATCGGGCTCCCGGTGCATGGAGCCTGCTTCTCCCTCTGCCTGTGTCTCTGCCTCTCTCTGTGTGTGTGTGACTATCATAAATAAAAAAAAATTTTTATAAATAAATAAATAAATAAATAAATTCAGAACTTCAAAATGGTTAACTCCAATCATGCTTTGAAATAACTATCATTCCTGGGATCCCTGGGTGGCGCAGTGGTTTAGCGCCTGCCTTTGGCCCAGGGCGTGATCCTGGAGACCCAGGATCGAATCCCATGTCGGGCTCCCGGTGCATGGAGCCAGCTTCTCCCTCTGCCTATGTCTCTGCCTCTCTCCCTCTCTCTCTCTGTGACTATCATAAATAAATAAAAAAATTTTAAAAAATTTAAAAAAAAAGAAATAACTATCATTCCTATAATTATCAGTCAAAGAAACACGGATTGGGCTAAATCCAAACCAAGAAGTAGGAGTATCTCTAAACTACAGACAAGGATCCTGAAAGAAAGAAAGGCTTTAGTCTTCTTTACACTCTCATTCATGACAGAATGTCCCCATCCTGGGTCCCTATTTAAGGCCTGGAGAAATTAAAGTCAGCAAGAGATTAAATGAAAATAGTTAAGTTGAAAACGAAAACATGTGGCCCAGGAATCTAACTGTGGGCAGAAAAATTCAGCATTAGAATTTGGGGAGGGATAAAAGGACAGACTGTGAGAGTTGACACATTATAAGCAAACACTCCTCTATTTTGGAAGATTATTAAATCGTCAACATTAACAAAATTGTGTGTGTGTGTATATACGTGTAAATGTACAGTGAGTGTGACATCAGAGCCAAATATATGGAAAGCCTGATCCAAACAGTGCTGGTTCCTAATGACTACAATCTTGTAAAAAGGTGTTTCTCTAGGCCTTGAGCTCTTCTGAAGTTGTGTGCTCAGATTACTTATATCTCATTCCATGTGTGAAAAATAACAACTGTGGGTATTTTTTTTTTCACATGTTTCCTGATAAATTCTTTTTTTTTTATAAATTAATTTTATTGGTGTTCAATTTACCAACATACAGAATAACACCCAGGGCTCATCCCATCAAGTGTCCCCCTCCGTGCCCGTCACCCATTCACCCCCACCCCCCGCCCTCCTCCCCTTCCACCACCCCTAGTTCATTTCCCAGAGTTAGGAGTCTTTATGTTCTGTGTCCCTTTCTGGTATCTCCCACACATTTCTTCTCCCTTCCCTTATATTCCCCTTCACTATTATTGTTTCCTGATAAATTCTAAAATGTTTCTTGGACCTCTCTCCTAATTAGCTTTTTTGCATGTGAACTAACTGTGAAATACTATGGTCCTATCAATGTTGCTCTTTCAAAACAAAGTGCTGACATGCATTGCTGCCCCAGAGTGCAGTGTCAAAGAAAAAGCACTGACCTGACCTAAAATTAACCAAGGGGGGTATTAACGTAACTAATAGATTTTCTTTAGCTTGATGATGAGTAGTTTTGGCACTGGGTATAGGAACCTGCTAGGGTCAGTATTTTTCAAAGTCTCTGCCATGACATTTTCATGGCAACCAAATACTTAACTATACTTAAAATACAATTTAAAATACATTTAAAAATATGTACCTCACACAAAAGTTTCATAAAACAGTAGTTTTCATGGCATTCCATTTTCTTTTCTACTTTTCAGAGTTTTGGGTTTTGGACAATGTTGGTTAATAATACACTATGTTGATCTCATGATGTATTATTGGAGTCATGAAGTTCACAGTTTCAAAACTACTACTCTGGCTTATCCATTTTTTAATAAAGGGTAGAGTCAAGTACAAATGGGAGATGCTTTAGTTCTGGGTTATTAGCACTGTAGCTCATGGCCAAAGAAGCAGCATGGGAACCCCCTGAAGGAGACAGCCAACCTAATAATGTCACTGTATCACCACCCTGCTTAGCTTGAGGGACAGAGAGCAAGAAGCCTACAAGGGCCCTAGCTAGTGTGTGAATTCACCTCTGGCCTTTATCCTTAAGTTGCCTGGTGGGAAATGCAATCAGTGGGATTTGTTCTATTTTACTTAAACACTGAAGTCAGAGAATTTGTTTTCAGATCTAAAGAATAAGCCATCACAGAAAACACAAACTAGAGCTAGAGGCAGCGATGAACAGAAAATGGGATTAGGTAACATAATCCAAAAGTGGCAGACAGATCCAAATTTAAAAATTAAATGTTAAACCATACCTTTTTAGATTTGTTCTGGAGGGTATATCCTCTGTACCAACCTGTTGGGGAATAAGAAAACATAATCTTTTATGTTACCTGATATATTTATATTAATAAAAATATTAGCAATATACATCCTCAAATTCTATCGGAATACTGGGATGTAATCCAAGAGGCAACTACTTAGAATGTGTACATTTTGGTTTATTACATCAAAATCTAAATCTATTTTAGAGCTTTATTCTATCTACAGATAAAGGATTTAAAATTCACATAAAAACATACCTCATCTCTGCTCCTTTGGAGAAAGGAAGAATAACAACAACAACAAAAACAAGACAGAAGACTGCTCAACTTCTTAATACCTAACACCTTACAGTCATTCAGTAAGCGTTTTTGCATGAATGAAGGTCTTTCAACCATGTATATACACTCTACAAGTCACCCTATACTATTAAAATACTTTAAAATAATTTACGTAGTCTCTCTCTTATCTCAATTCTCAGGTGAAGAACCACTGTTCTGGAACAGTCTTAAACTGAAATGGCAAATCTTACATATATAAATATTTGCACCTAAAAAAGTTGAAACAAACAGACAATAAACGACCATTCTAAACAATTCTTGGCAATGCTATTCATACCCCAAAAATTAAAAAAAAAATGCTGGCCTGATGAGGCTTTAAATAAAGCTTTTAACTTCTTTATAAAAATTTCAATAAATACACATACTCCTATGGATGCTTTTCTACCCTCTATCTGGTAAAGAGAGTTTACAACTTATCCATAAACAGATAACTTATATTAAATATATACCGAATACCTACTAGAAGTAACTGACTACAATGATTTTCCTCATTCCCCATGTCCATCAGGCATCAAGTTGGTCATGTTGCTTAAACAAACCTGGTTGTGGGTGGTACATATGTTGTAAAGCAGCCACATACATAGAGTAAGTAGATGCAAACTGTTAATAAAACTTTAGGCATCTGCCAGTAGGGTTCTAGAACCGTCTTGTAAGTTGTTCTACATGAAATCATCCAGAAAAAAAGACACACAATATATTCTGGATATATTACCCAAAAAAAGTGAATTTACCTTAAGCATAAATTTAATAATATTTTAAAAAGTTTTAAACTGTCAGTATTCAAAATTTAAAGAATTTTGCTATTTTTTTACAGGAAAGAATTAGGGTACTATTCTGTGAAATCATTATAGGTTTATATCAAAGCCCACCATTGAGAAAAAGATATGTGAACAGGAAACACTGCTCCCAATTATGGATGCCAAAGTGTACAAGAGAGCCAAGTATAAGAAGAAAACCAATCTAAACATCACTGGTAGGTTCTGCTGCCTCAGGAAAGTGCCTTTGCTTGAATGAATAGCTTTAGGCTCATCCTGGGGCGGGGGAAGGGCATGAAAGCTGTGAAACAATGATCTCTTCCAAGCAGTTTTCATCTCCCTGTGTCCTACAAAACCAAGATGTAACAGTTTGGACTTTGCTCCACTGTCAGAGAGGAATTTCTCTGTACTTCTGTAAACAGTATTTTTGGGCAGCCATTCATCACAGAATTATGCTTCTGAAACCTGTCATTTTTGAGAACTTTTTTTTTTCTTTTTTACCTCCTAAGTCTTCTCTAGGATTGTGGTTTGAGTATAACCCCTGTCGAAAGGCACAAAATTACCACACTGAATTTGTAGAATGTTCATTTTGCTTGGCATTAGGTAGTAGCAGAATAGTGTCTATCTCTGGAGTTTTAATCATACACTGTCAGGAACCCATAAATTCAATTGCTAATAACTGCAAGGGATACAAGCAAGAACGTGGTTTTCCAACTGATCTTCATATTTAAAACAGGATAATTATAGTTAAATATGTATGCTTCTAAGGCTTCCAAATGCATCACGATGCAAAGAGATAGTGAAGGTTCTCTCAAACAAGCATAATCAATAAGTAGTGTGAAGTGGTGGGAATCTTGGGTGCTTTTGAAAATTAGTAGATTCTTAAAATGAAGAGAATGGTAGGGGATGGTGAACTCAGAGGGTCAGTCTTACCTAGGTTTAGGTGAAATGTCAGTCTCAAAGAGTGAGTTTGCAAGCCGATAGATATCTAGAACAGATTGGTGGTCGCCAGAGATAAGAGTGTGCAGATGAGGGCGACATGGGTGAAGGGAATCAAAAGGTACAAACTTCAAGTTATAAAATAATGAAGTCTCAGGGATGTAATCTACAGCATGGCAACCATAGTCAATAATTCTGTGTTGCATATTTAAAAGTTGCTAAGACAGTAAGTCTTATTATTACAATATAATACATAGATATAAATGTTATCAATATAAAATATTAATATATTACAAGGAAAAATAATTTTGTAACCATGCATGCTAATATATGTTAACTAGGCTTATTGTGATGAACATTTTGCAATAAACATAAATATGGAATCACTGGGGCGTCTGGGTGGCTCAGTCAGTTAAGTGGCTACTTTCTGCTCAGGTCATGATCTCAGGGTACTGGGATCAAGTCCCCCATTGGGCTTCCTGCTCAGTGGGGAATCTGCTTCTCCCTCTCCCTCTGCTCCCCCTGCCCATGCACTCTTTCTCTTTCTCACTCCCAAAGAAATAAAATCTTTTTCTAAAACAAAAACAAAAAAGCAAATATTTAATTATTATGTTGTACACCTGAAACTAATAAAATGTTGTACTTCCATCATACCTAAAGAAAACAAAAGGGTAGAGGAGTGGAAAGAGTTTATAGCAACCATGGTGAACATCAAAAGTGATTCTAAGCTAAGGGTGGCTCTTCCATTTGGGAAACCAGCCGTTTCTGTTTTCCTGGGACTGGACCAATTCAGAATAAAAATCTCTCCTGTCTGAAATGAAAATATCTGAGAGTTCCTAATTCCATTGCCACAGCTGCTTCCTTTATCTGGTTTCTTAGATCATCTCCATCAGTTAAGATTCTGGCATCTGCTCCATGTCATCTCATCTGCCAGATTATCTCTTGCTACTGCACCCTTTCTGGCTCCTATACAACAAGGCCCTTTACTTGGTTTTTCTCCCTGCTACACGGAGTCACTCAATAAATATTTATTAAACACTAGTCTGATCACCATGGTGTAGGAGAGAGCAAAGCTTATCATGAAGACTACTCATACAAAAAATAAAAATACAGAAATAAGGTGATTTCAGATAATGGCAGTACTAAGTAAGAAGCATTTGGCAGAAAATGACCAGTAACATGGGACATTATTTTAGATCAGGTAATCAAGGAAAGGCCACTCCTAGGATCTGAATGGAACCAGTCATAAAAGGAGAAAAGGCAATAAGATGGTGGTCTGAGGGAGGCATAATTCTCAACCCTTGCTGCCCATTAGATTTACCAGGGAACTTATAAAAATACTGATGCCTGAGCCACATCTCAAATATTCCAATTTAATTGGACTCAGGTGGGACCCAAGCTTAGTGCTTCTGAAAAGATCCTGTGGTGATATTGATATGCAGCCAGGATTGATTACTGGAGATACTACATGCCATGGAGGAACTTTGTTTGTATTCTAAGCACAATGGTAAGCCATTGGAATTCTGAATGACATCATGCCTCATGCTTTTAAAAGATCAGAAGATCAGGCTGGCTGCTATGTAAGAATGGATTGGGGCGGGGAGGGGGGGCACCTGGGTGGCTCAGTGGTTTAGCATCTGCCTTAGGCTCAGGGCGTGATCCCAGGGTCTTGGGATTGATTCACACATCAGACTCCCCATGGGGAGCCTGCTTCCCCCTCTGCCTATATCTCTGTTCTCTCTGTGTTCCTCTCATGAATAAATAAATAAAATCTTTAGGAAAAAAAAATAATGGATTGCAGGAGATGAGACATAGCAGAAAGAGGAACAGTGGGAAGAAGACTAGGAGGTAAAGCAAAAATGGGGAGAGATGAAAAGATGCTGGACACATTTTGCATCAATAAGAGTCGTTCATGAGTTAGCTGGGAATAGGCAAATATTCAAGGGCACTCAGATCTTGGGTTTAATTAAGCAAATGAGTGGCCAGAATTAATTCTTTGGGATAGAAAGACTGAACAAAGGAAAGCCCTGGGGCACAGGAGACAGAATCAAGAGGTATATCTCGGCCCTTCTGCTTCCCTTCTTGAACAACTGAGCCCTGAGGCATTAGGTGGGACTGGGCAATTTAGGTATTTGCAAGGAGAGGACACCCACACAGCAGGCCAGATTGGCATGGCATGTCAGAGCCCAGGCAGAACAAGGTGGGCATGCATGGGGTAAGGGGTCTGCAGGAAGAGGGTGAAGAGAAGGGCATCCACACCCACGAACTGGGCGTGAGGAACCGCAGACTGACATGAGCTATGAGAGAGAGAACTGACTGAGGAGGACGTCCATGTAGAAGGTGTAGTATGAAGGCAGAGATTGGTTGAGGAACTGATGAACTAAGGAAATGTATTAATGCTGGAAGCCATGTTTCTGACTGTCACAAAAGGGAGTTACAAGAAAGGGAAAAAACTAGAATGAACTCTTATATGCTAGACTGGACTTCAAGGGACCCATGTGTACACATGACTCCTAAAATATGCCAACAGGTCAAAATTAATGGATGTGTTCATCTGTATTTATACATGCATTCACATTATCCCTGGCTTTGCTGATGCCTACTGGTTCTTATTTTCTTGACCCTGAGAGAGATGATGGAGAACTCAGAAAAGCAGCTCTGTAACTGGCCTAGAGCAACCAGTCCAAGACAAAGCAGGAAGGCAGAGGACTCCATGAAGAACAAATCCAAGAAAATAACTGTAACTGTGAAATTATCTCATTTGTCTGAACATATGAGAAGGAGGTAAACACTTCTGTCAGAAAGTCTGGATACGAAAAAGAAGTAGGTCCACAGAGAACCAAGAAAAGAAGAATTAACACCTCTAGAAAAACATTATTCAAGATAGGAAACAGAATTAAGGTACATTCCACAGATCTCCTGCTTATACTACGTAGACTCAGTAATCTAAATAACTTTAAAAAAATTATGATGTATCTCTACTGGGAGGTCTCTATTAG